AGGCAGCCGGTCTGCGAAAGTGAAAGTGAAGCTGCCCGTTCGTTCGCTCGCCCGCCCGCAGGGAGTCCCGGGCGTTGCCCGCCGCGCAGAGGGCTGGCCAGGTGGGCCCCGCAGGAGGGTGCCCCCGGGCCCCGAGCAGCTGCCAAAGCCTGCCTGCCTGCCTGCCTGCCGGCCGCGGCTCCAGGACGCGGACAGCTCCGCTCACCCGAGAGGCTGCCCGGCGAACGGAAGGGCGCGGGCGACTTCGGAAGTCTCTGCAGCGGCTGATCTCGGAGGGGTGGTGCCCTGCGCTCGCGGAGGCTGCTGGGAGCAGTAGTCCCAGCAGAGTCGAGGGAGCCCCTCCCGCCAGCCGGGCAGCCGAGGGGAGCCTTCCTTTCCCGATATGGGGGAGGTCAGGGCACGCGGTAACGTCGGCCGTCCGGTTCGTCAGCAGAGCGCCAGGGACGCTGCCGCGCCCCAGGTTCAACGTCTGCAGTTCCCTCGATTTGGAGGATATTCCGTACGCGTCTTCAAACTGTTCCCAAAACCAAGGGCAAGCCTGTTTCAAATGGGGGTCCCTTCCGTCATTTTACACTCCCAATGTAATGATGTTAACGACCAGCCCATATTAAATATTCTCTGAAGTTTCCAATAAACGAGGGGAAACCACTTTGCTGAATTAATCTCATTTTAGTATCCTAAGAAATTAATGTTCTCCAAGACCCCTGCCAGCCCATTTGTTAGCACGCGGCATTCCGACTCTGCCCCCAAGTTCTTGCAAAAGGGTAAACGCTTCCCTCACTTGAACCCCCTCTAGCTAAGCCTGTGCGTGCAGCAGGAGCAGGAGTCTGGGGTCCGATACAATCGCCAGCTTGCCTGACGGCGGCGTGGTTGAGTCCAGTCCAGGCAATACAGGCAGCAGGGGCGTACCCGAGACAGGGTACATGGCAGCGGTTTCCACAGGAGACACGAGCGGGTAGCTAGACGGTACCAAAGACTCCCTTCCCACTGAGCCTTATTTTACAACAGAGCCAGTGTTCCTCGTTTCTGAGGGTGAGGTCCCCGTCTCGCGAGTAACCTTGCTGAACGCCTTTGCAGCCTTCTCTTTTTAGCGCGCCTCGTTCTAGCATCAGATGGTTTCACACTTTCCGCCTCATTATCTGAGGCTAACCCTGGCTGTTGCGCGCTGTCCAGCCCCACCCCGAATGACCGCTCAGCCTGCTGTTCGTCCGAGTCAGAGCAAACCATGACAGCCCCCTTTGTTCGAGAAAGCTTATAGGCTCATTTGTGGACTGAGCAAAGGGAGGTTTCAGCCAAACAGAAACTCCAGAGGAGCTGCTCTTGAGAAAGAGGGTTCCTGCCTGGGGAGCTGGGTGCCCACTGCCTCTGTGCCGCCCCACCCCAGGCACCCCCAGCTCAGAAACCTTTTCAGCTGCCCTGTTCTAGAGAGCTGCGGGTGGCGTTTGTGCCTGCTCAGAGAGGAGCCTCAAGAGAACCTGCCCGCAGCCACAGGGAAAAAGAAAGGGGCAAAGAAGAACCTTTTTTTATTAGTCCTGGCAGCTGTCGCTGTACAAGTATGTCAAGGGAGAAAATCCACACAAACAAGGTGGAGTCTGAGACCCCACTGAAAAATCAGATATAAGTTAGAGAACTTCCAGCAGAAAGGCAGGCGGTGCACGTGGTGGAGCAGTTAGGCGTGGGCTGCCTTCTCTTTATACGTGGCCATCATCTTCTTAATTTCAGCAATTGCCTTCCCAGGATTCAGGCCCTACGGAAGAAAAGTGAAGCGCACAGCTGGGGGTGGTGGTGGCAACTCTGGGCTCTGGGCACAGTTCTGTAACTGCTCGCCTCGCCCTTGCCCAGCTTGCTCCCACCCCAGCTGAGTAACTTGTCCAGGAGGAAAAAGAGAATCGGAAACCCAGGGTCAGAGAGAGCACCCACCTTGGGGCAGGTCTGGGTGCAGTTCATGATGGTGTGGCAGCGATAGAGGGAGAAAGGGTCTTGCAGCTGTGCCAAGCGCTCCTCCCTGTACTCATCCCGGGAGTCAATCATCCAGCGATAGGCCTGAGAGAACAGCTGCTCTTGGAAAGAATTCTTCCTTCTCCACAACTTTGGTTTTCTTCCACCCTGGATCTTAGAATAGAGGCCCAAGTCCCCCCTCCCCAATCCAGCACCTGCTCAGGTAATGGCCAGCCAGGCGCTGTAAGGGGGAAGCCCACCGTCAGCCATGGCCAGCTGAAAACTCCCTCGGACGTTGCGGGCGGGCAGGCAGATGGCCGTCTCCACAAGCAGCCATGGGTCCCCCGCTGAGGGGGCCAATTACCTGCATGAGCACCGCTGGGCCAAGGTACTTGTCACCGTTCCACCAGTAACTGGGGCAGCTGGTGCTGCAGCAAGCGCAGAGGATGCATTCGTAGAGCCCGTCCTGGGAGAGCGGAAGAGATGCTGTGTGAGGCAGAGAGTGGCTTGAGAGCTGCTAGAGCCTGGGTGGGAAGGCACTGCCCCTCCTGGACTTGTGAGGGTGGCAGACCCCCGTCCGGGCAGCCTGAAGAGGGAGCAAGGGCACTGCTTTAGCCCAGCGGCCTCTATCTGCCAGAGGGAAGGCAGATTCCACTGCCCTGCTTATAATCACAGTGCCCCTTTGTGACTTGGATGCAAGGGCGGGGTGTGTGTGTGTGTGTTGTTCCTGTGGAAGAGTTTTAGGGCTGTGCCGGGGGACAACCCCTGTCCCAGGAGGCACTCTGAAAGCCACGTAAGCCAGCGACTGCCACACATTTGGGGAGCCAATTCCAGCATTCAGGTATTCCCAAAGAAGAGGGGAAAAGGAGAAGGTGCATTCCTATCCGTCAGAAGTGCTTAGCGGGGCAGCAAGGAGCTATAATGGCTGGCCAGGAGAGGCAGCAGCCCCCCAAAGCAGCAGTGAACAAAGCACAGCTGTCAGCTAAGAGAGACATGAAGAAAACAACAATGACCAGCTTCTCCCGATCTTCAATGGACTGGAAATACTGCTCTTTGCCTTGGTTTGACTCGTCCTTCTTTTTCAAGTAAGGCTGGATAGCTTTGTATTGGGCATAGAAGTTGCTCATGTCCTGGAGAAAGGAGAAGAAATATAGGCCGAGTTCACACATTGTACCATGCCATGATCTGAGGGAAGCAGTTTGTGGAATAAGCCATGATTGGTAGTTCACATGAAACAATGTATAGCTTGCAAATACAACAGCTCGCATGTACCACGCTAAGCCCAAACCACACAAAGCATGTTCAGGCCAAGCACAATGTGTGAAAGCAGCTGTAATCTGTGTGGTTGGATAGCAGTGAGGTGGAGGCTGTCAGGCATGACACGCAAACTCCACCCAAACCTTCTGCCAGTGCCCTTCTCCCTGCTCCCAAGGGCTGGGTCATTTCAGGCCTAGAATCCACGGGGGCAGGGAGAACCGCCAGGAGGCCTGCACGGAAGCCAAATGCCTGGAATACATGGCTGCTTCACACAGGGCAATCGTGTAGAGATCCAGGCTGCCATCCCCGGAAAGAAAGGCAGATGGAGGGTTGACCAAGCGTGGCCGACACAGGACAGACGCTCGTCGGCTGGGGCATCTGGTTCAGATAAATACCCCTACGTCCTCTGCACTTAGGAGGCCACCCTCCTCTGAACTTACAGGCACGAGGTCTTTCACCACATACATGTGAGGGAGGGGATAGATCTTGGTGACCTTGTTGAGATCGGTGTCGATTCTCTTGGTGCAAGCCAGAGTGTTCCCTCCATTTATGTTCATAGCGCACGAGCCGCAAATGCCTGCGGGGGGAGGGCAGGGATCAAGTATTCGAGAGCAAAAAGCGAGATGTTAAGATGACCGTAAGGCGGCCGCCTCCCCAGACTCCCCCGGAGCTTCTGCCCGTCAGAGCCAGACCACAAACGAGGCAAGTCTGACCTTCTCTGCAGGACCTGCGGAAAGTCAGGGTGGAGTCCATTTCGTTCTTGATCTTGATCAGGGCGTCGAGAACCATCGGGCCACATCTGGAACGAGAACCGGCCAGATGCTAGAAGGTACGAGCCCCCGTTTCGCTCGGCCCGCGGACGGGAGGCTTGCTAGGCAGCAGCGTCGCGGTTCGTCGCTTCCTTCGTACGTCGCCG